TCTCTCTCTCTCTCTCTCTCTCTCTCCCCCCTTCACCTGGAAGGCCAGCCCCAGGGCAGGAACCTCGTCTGTCTTGTTGACAGTGCACCCCCAGCACCGAGCACAGAGCCTGGCACTCAGTATATACCTGGTGCATGAACCAGTGCAGCTGCCCAGGGCTCTAAGCTGTGGGTGGCCAAACTTACCTTTGAACCCAGGACGTTTCGCTCCCCGTGCAAGTTACATGGGGCAATTCCACTCACATGCTGGTGTGTTTATAATCTGGAACCATCCATCCTCTGCTCTGGAGACCCGAGGATACCTCTTTTGCCCTGGAGCCAGGGCAAGTGGGGGTGAGGGGCCCAGTAGGGCCCCATCCTGACACTGACCGCTGTCCAACATTGTGTATTTTCAACCTCCTGTATAATCAATCAACTTCCCTGGGAGTGGTTGCTGTGCTTCTCAGTGCCCTGTGCATCGTACACCCAGGTTCCAGTCTCTGTCCTCCACTTACTGCTGTGTGGCCTTGGTTCCTCATCTGCAAAGTGAGGGTACTGAGGCCACCACCCAGGTCCAAAGCCTAGATGCAGTAATGCCTAGGAGGCACCTGGCACAGTGCTAGTCAGCGCTATTGTTCAGTGAGAGCACAGAGAGGTTAACTCACTTGTCCAAGGCCACACAGCGAGGACGCAGCCCCACTGTGTCTGGGCCAAGGTGAAGTGGCTCCTGAGACCCCATGGCTCCCTGACAAACACCACTGCTGCTGTGGCTCCTCGGCTGCTGGTGTTACTGGTCTTTACAGGGGTGGCCTGGCCTGGTCTGGATAGTGGTAAGTGTCAGGGGTGATGATGCAGGAAGAGCAGTCTTGGCTCCTCTGGGCCTCGAAGTCCCCTTACCACCCTCACACGGTACCCGGCTCAGGCTGTGGGGGAGCACCCAGAGTCCTTTTGACACAGAGCCACGTACCCTCTGACTGCAGTGGTCACATTTCTGAGAATCCTTCACCTCTTCCCACTCATTACACTGGTGGCAGAGCTCTTCCTTAATAACCTCTTCCTCCGCGGCCTAAGCCAGGGACGCCAGGCTGTCAGAGTTCACCCTGCCATGGGTGGGGGGCCACGGGTGTGCTGGAGGTAGGTGAAAAGACAAAGGGAAAAGACAAATGTGGCCAAGCCCAGGTCCCTTTGATGGACGCACCCGTAGAGCAGGAGGGACCCTAAGCAGAGGAGCCAGCTCCAGCCTTGGCAACAGGACTGGCTCTCTCAGGTCCCCTTCCTCCAGGCCGTGGCCTCCTATACCCTCTGTCCCAGGAGACCAGACCCCACAAACAGCACTGTGCTAAAGCTGGAAGGGGCTATAGGGACCCTCTCCTTGTAAATGTGTCCTGACTCTAGCTTCTCCTAATTTATCACACTTAGTAACGTCTTTGGGTACCACCTATACCATTCAACTCACTTGTTACAAACCTCAATTTTATTTTCAAAGGAAACTATATCATTACTCTAGGTGGAGAACTAGGCTTACTTGTCAGGAATACAACATAAACACAAAAATAAATGTCACTGAATCAGTGAGCTTGGCTCCTAGAGGGCAGTGGTTTGTGATTTTCTGCTGTGTCCCCAGCACCCACAACTGGACCTGGCACATCATAGGTGCTCAAAGTACATCTTTTTTTTTTTTTTTTTTTTTTTTTTTTAGCTGAGCCATCCTGCCACCTGTTGGCAGCTCAGCGGCTGCTCAGCTCGGGCAGGGACTCGAACCACTGTTGCTCAGAGCTCAAACTCTTGAGCGAGCTCTTAACCAACTGTGCCACTCAGCCGGCCCTCAAAGTACATCTTTTGAATGAGGGGCTGAGTAAATGAACAAATGAATAAACGCAGAAAGGAATGTGTGATCTGGAATGGATGCTTGGGGAGAACACTGAACCTGTCTGTTAAAATGAGGAAAAGCAAACATTCAAGGGGCGTCAAAGCCACAACAGCCCCAGATGGAGACTTTCTTTTTGTTGTGTTCACTGTGTCTGGCAGGGCTGCCCAAGTGTGCTCCTGCCTACACACACACGACATGACACATGTGTGGGGCAGACCCCAGCTCCTCAGCCACATGAGGGCCCACTTCTGAGCTGGCCTTGCTGAGGGCTGGGTGCTCCAGTCCTCCCCACTATGGACAGGGCCATCTTCCGCAGAGCACCAAGTCACCGAGTCACCGTCTTCGCCTGGCAGGAGCCTGTGGGGGTGGCCGAGCTCAGGGCAGAGGCCAGGCACAGGAAACCTGATGTCATCCTGACTCACTCCTCGGGCGGCGGAGCTGGGGTGGCCGTCATTCGTCACTCTTACCTTCATAACCTGCCTTGGCCTAAGGATGGACCTCCACCATTCATCTCTCCCTCCCTCCCCAGAGCATCTGCTTGGGGTACGGATTTGGAGGAAGAGGAAGGGGAGCGCAACAGGCGTAACCTCTGCACAGAGCCCAATGCCCAGTGCCGCACGTCCTGAGTGTTGTGACTATGAAGAGGAAACTGCTCTGCATGGGGGCTGGGGTGTGCTGTGGGGCAGGGAAAGGCCAGGGATCCCAAGGCAGAGGGCCAGGGACACTGAGCCAGCTGTCAAAACAGATGGTTACAAAGAAGAACACCAAATCATCATGGGTTCCAGTTAGGTATTTTAATTAAAAAACAAAAACAAAAACCGAGCCCCAAACCTATCTGATAATGTCTACTCTGTAACAGCCAGGCCAAGAAAACAAAAAATTGAAAAACTTCTTGAGTCTGGCACACACCTGCTGCTGTCCCCTTACCATCTAGTGATGGGAGGGGGTCCTCCCTTGGGGACCTGAGGCCTGTGGGCATCTGGTCTAAAGAGACCCCCCTCCTCACACTGTCAAGGTGACTGGAGCCCCACCTCACCTCTATCAGGGGGAGCGAGGGTCCTTGAGGATGTGGCAAGGGGGACGAGACATCCGTGCCATGACTCACCATGGGTCGGGGGATCATTAGTCAGAGCAGAAGTGGGGCGGAACGTGGGTTATATTCTCTTCCCCTCTCTTCTTCCCCAGGCTTCCAGCTTTCACACAGTTATGGGGGTGGGGGCTCCCCCAGTTTGAAAGGAGGAAGGGGAGCCCCTCCTTTATAGTGAAGTCAGGCCTCCTTGAGCCTGTGTTCCAGAGCTAAAAAGGGACAGCCCCAAAGCAAGTGGCATTGTGGGGGTGACATACACACAGTCACCGCAGGCAGAAATCACTGCTTCTGGCCAGAGTGGTGAGCAGGGCCCTCGGGCCTTTGACATGAGAGCAAAGCACTCCCACTCCCATGGAGGGACAGGCTCAGTCCAGCATGGATTCCTGGGGCTGGAGCCTCCACACTGCCAAGCTGATTTCCTCCTGAGCAGGATCCCAGCTGGTCAGTCCTCGCTCTTTCTCCTCATGGAGCTAGAAGGCCAGGGCTCCCAGCACGCAGGTGACGCCAGCCACATGGTCATCAAGCCTGGGCCTGACTATCCTTTTGCATGCTCTGTAATTTGCCCTTGGAATCAGCTATTAAGTCACCTGCCGGAGGCTGATGCCAAAGATAAGGCCCGTATCGGCCTGTGGCATCTGTGGCCCAGACTCCCTGGCTCTGCTGTGGCTTTGCCACATCAGCCTCCACACTGGCCTGATAGGAAGGACAGAGCACTACAGTGCCCAGGCAGTGGCATGGCCTTGGAACCAGCGTGGGTGAGTGGGTGAGCAGCTGGTCTGTTATGAGCTCCCATCACTGGGGACACTGAGGCATGAGAGGGTGACGTGGCCCCAGGGATCTTTGGCATCCTTGGGGCTTCTCTCACCCATGTTCCCTCTGCCCCAGGGCACACAGAATCTGCAGATTCCGTGCTCTGTCTCAAACATTGCAGAACTGCATACAGATCTGCTCCAGCACTGACATATCACGCTCCAGTACCAACACATCAAGCCCAGTGCTGGGGGAACGCACAGGGCTCCTAGCTGTAGCCTGCCAAGACACTGTAGACATAGGGGTCTGCAGGGGAGTTGGAGGGATTTTACAAAGGGCACAGAGCAGTGACTCAGGGGCAGTGGGGCTGAGAGGGTTGGGTTTTAAACTCCCATGCAGCTAGGAGTGGGGGTGGGGCAGCTCCAGGACACAGTCCCCAGCACCAAAACTTCTCTGCTTCGAGTTCAGATCCCCACGCACACCTGGGTCTCACCACATCCCGCCCCAGAGCTGGCGGCTGGGGTGGGGACAGGGAAAAAGTGGTGTGGATTGTCCAGCTCCCCCTTCTTACTGTTCTTGCCTTGCTAAAGCGTCAGCCCTAGGCCCCTGTTGTCCAGGAGTCTGCTGCAGGCCTAGGGAGGCTGAGCAGGGGAGGGGTGGGGTGGAGGAGGCAGGCTCCGGTAGTTCTCCTTCTTCCCCTTGGGGAAGCTCCTGAAATTCCCGTGAGGCCCCGCGGGAGAGCCCATCAGCGTCAGCAGAGTTCCCCTTCAGAGCTGGCCTGTGCCTTGGGGAAGTGCTTTGCCCTGGGCCCCTGGGGTTTCCCTGGGCTCCTGGGGCTCTGGATGGGGAGGAGGG